ACGGGGGCGGGCCGGAAGGCGCTCGCCAAGCCGTGGCCGCGGCTTATTGGTCCCGGCAGACTTCGCTCACTTGCACACCCAATGGGAGGCAGCCGGGTAGAGGCTCCCCGTTTGGGTTTTGGCGGGGGCGGGGCAAGCAGCGGAAGGAGGGACTTGCGGGGGGCGGGGTTGACCAGCCTCTCCTATCCCCCGTGGCCATCACGTACTCACAGTCGGTCGTGGATTTTCCGTACTTTAGTGGAGTGCAGTGTTTGGCCTGTCTCTCGGCTGCTTGGGATTCTCTTTCCTCGCTTGCCTCAAATGAGCCCCTTTTCAGCCCTCACTCATCCCTTGCTTCCCCCCAATCCCTACCTTTATCCTCTTTGTCCCTAGGGAGGATGTTTCTTTGGGTCCTCAGTGCATCTATGGCCTTATTAAATGACATAGTAATTTGTCTAGTGACCGAACGAGTTTTCAGTCGTAAAACACTTGCTAAGCACATACTATTTTGTTGAATTACTTTTAAAGTTCCCATGAGCAGGGCACGAGGCCGGTTTTTCACAGGCCCCGTTCCCTATAGAAGCCCTGTGGGTTTCATCGCTCTTCACTTACACGGATGCTTGCTAGCCCCAGGAGGGACCCTACCAGTAAGTTCCCATGGTCATATGTTTTGTTAAACTTGCAAAAGTGAAATAGTTTAAGCGTAACAGGCTAAGACTGCGGTTTCCACTCTAATTCCCTCTTATGTTTAAAGTGGACTTGAGCATTTTGTTTTTGTAATATTAATGTATTAGTAGTGGTTTATTTCCCTGCAGTGCTTAATGCATAAAACAGCTCTGATTCTGGGCATAGTGGGACCCAGAAGGGGTGGAGACTGGTAGGGCTTCCTGGAGGAAGTGGCACTAGAGCTGAGTCTGGAAGGTGTGCCAGGCGAACAGAGGAGGAAGTCATTCCAGGCACAGGGAGCACAGGGAGCGAAGAGGGCACAGTGGGGTGAACGGATGCCATGAGGAGGAAGCTGTGGCAAATGCCAGATGACGGGGTGGACCTGGGGGGCTGTGTGACACGGTGAGACATTAAGATCATGTGTAGACTGAGCTATGTAGAGTCCTGATTTTTGATTCCATAAGAGCTCCTTGAGTTTATTGATGCTGCTGTAGAAGCTCGGATTTGGTGCATCAGGGTAAATTTTAGGGAAAACCCTACAAACTCAGAGGCTTATACCCTAATGGTTTGTTTCTTGCTCTCACTGGGGAGCAGCTGAAAGCTGCTGTGGTAAGTCAGGGACTCTGGGTCCTCCTGTCTTATAGCGCCATGGTTTTCTAAAACATACACTTTCAACGTGGGAAATATTGCCCCCAAGGGGGCAAAATTGGTTCTTGGGGCAGTAGGATGAGGAAATCTTGGATATTACGAGGGCCACAGTGCATACACAGATATACAGTATATCTCGTGTTTTTCAAATTTCCTGGGAGAAAATAAATTAGGAGAAGTCTAAAAAAATCTCCTTTGGCGATGTGGGGGGGGTGTGATAATGAAAAACAAAGCTGAGAAACACTGTTCTAGAACTGGGGTCTCCAGTACAAATATAATGTGAGCCACAACCACACGTAGAATTGAAAAATTTCTAGTAGCCACATTAAGAAAAGTATAAAGAGATTAATTTTAATAATATAGTTTAACCTAAAATATCCCAAATGTTATCATTTCAACATGTAATCATGTAAAATTGATTAATGAAGAAAAAAATGAGGGGAAGGTATAGCTCAGTGGTAGAGCAAATGCTTAGTATGCACAAGATCCTGGGTTCAATCCCCAGTACCGCCATTAAATAAATAAATAATTTACCTAATTACCTACCCACCCCCCAAAATTAAAAGATTTGAAAAAAATGATTAATGAGCTATTTACATTCTTTTTTTCATACCTTTGAAACCCAGTGTATATTTTATGCTTAGAGCCCATCTAAAGTTAGATGACCATATTTCAAGTGATTAATAGCTACATGTAGCTACTGGACTGCACAGTTCTAGAACCTCTTAGAGTCCTTGTTGGTTCTTCTGTGTTCGACTGACTGAAGACTGACCGAAGAGCAAAGAGAGAATGAGGAACATTGCACAGGTGGTTTTGGTAGCATCCTTCCACTCACATCCGTTGGCCGGAAGCCAGCCACGTGGCCCCAGTTTAACTGAACGGGAGGCTGGGAAATACTCTTCTGTGTCAAAGAGGAGGAGTTGGATTGGTTAGGATCAAGAAAATCTGCTGTAGTCCCCCCTCTGGCCTCCATGTATCCATGTTACTCTTCTTCCACGTGGAACAGACTTAGTCCCTCCCCGAGGGGGCTGACCCAACGTCCATCACTGTACCCAGCTCAAAGTCCTGGGTGTCTGGCTGATGTGCGGACCCCCTAGGTCAGGATGTGAGTCCTCATGGTATAAAGCTCATGAATTAAAAAGAAGAGCTATCCTCCCCACCTCCAAACTCTCAATGTACAATATTGGAGCAGGACAGGAGAATCATAATAAATGCTCCCTTTCAGAAAGGAGACTAGTAAGAGATACCCCGAGGTCCCTGGTTCAGGGCAACTCTGAAACCCTGATGGGTGGACGTGGTAAGGCTCCCACTGGAGAAAGGTGGTTCTTCAGTTAGGTTCCAAGTCTGCCCTCTGGGAGGATCTCTGAGGCCCCCTCCACCCTCCAGGAGGCTTCTGGTAATTAGTCTCCTGCCCACATCTGAAGTGGGGGCTGGGAGCCTGCTCTCCTAGGGGGCTGCCCCGCCTTCAAAGCCTGCCTCTTGCCGGTGGAACATTGGGAGTCCAAGGGCTCTTTTGTCTGTTTTGTACATTTTATTTTGCTTTAAGTAAACTTTGTATTAAAATATAACATGCTTATGGACTGAGTTGTGTCTTTCCCAAATCCATAATATTGAAGCCTTAATCTCCAATGACTGTATTTGGAGACAGGACCTTTAGAGGGGTTAAGTTAAGTGAGGTCATAAGGGCAGGGCTCTAATCCAGTAGGTCCGGTGTTCTTATAAGAAGAGGGAGAGACACCAGGGATGTGCACACGGAGGAAAGGCCATGTGAGGACACAGCATGAAGGTGGCCATCCGCAAGCCAGGGAGAGAGTCTTCGGGAGAAACCAACCCTGCCAGCACCTTGAACTTGGACTTCCAGCATCCAGAACTGTGAGACAATAAATATCTGTGGCTTAAGCCCCCCATTCTGTGGTACTTTGTCATGGCAGCCTGAGCAGGATAATATGAACACAAGCTAAAATAAAAAAGATCACGAATCTTTAAGGGTAACAGCTCCTTGACCCTTTCATAAAGTAAACACCCCATGTAACCAGCACCCCAGGAAAGCCTCTTACACCCCTTCAAAAGATAACTAATCCTAGATATCATCCTAGATTAGTCTTGCCCACTTTCCGCTTTATGCAAGTGTAATCAGTCAGGAGGTACTATTTCGCATCTGGCTGCTTTCATTCAGAGCTGTGTTGTGAGTTTCATCCGTGTTATGGCTGGTTGTACCCCGCTGTGTAAACAGGCCACGGTGGACGTGTTCTCCTCTTGATGGACACTTGGGTGGTTTCCACGTCACATCGACAGCTTGACCCAGTGAGATATTTGAAAGATCAGACGCACATTTTCCTGTCAATGCCAGAAACTATTTTCAAGGTGTTGCTGAGCATTCGTTTATGTTACAGTTTAAATTTCATCTCCAACAAATATCTCACAACCACAAACTATTTAGTAGGCCTGGAGTCACTTAGTAGGTACAACTCAGAACAAAAGTATTATATTCATTTATGACAAAAAGAATCAGCTCGTCTGTGGCGTGGGGTATGTCAGCGCTTCCCCCAGCTGTGCCCTGAAGGCCAAGTGCGTCCTAGGTGTTGTGGGAACGCAGAGAACACTGGTTCTGCCAACAAACACCAGCTCCAGGCCATTGTTGCTGGAAAAGACAGAAGGGACAGTAATAATATTTTCTGAAGTACAGCAGCTCCTCTTGTTGGTCTGCCTTCAGAGGCTTGATCACTGACCAGAGAAGGGTAAAACAGATGATTTAAGGAGCAAGAAAAGACTGTCCAGAGACCCTGGTTTTTTTTTTTTTCCCTAGGACAATGAGCAGACTTGGTAACTCAAATGTCCACCATGCTCCGTATAGTTAATAATAATTATTCTAATAATAAATGAATAACAGACAATGACTTTCTTTGTGCTGCCCCCAGAATTTGTTTTCAGTGGGGGTGGGGATGGTGATGAATGAACTGGGTGTTTCTTTTCCTTTCATTTCCTTAGAACTTCCAGCCCCCGATTCTGGGTTATCTGATTGCTGCTTGTCTGCCCAGTGTCCCTCACCCCCGAGTTCCTGCAGCCCCTCCTACAGCACTTCCTGTAGGAGAGGAAGGCCGTGGGGCGAGGAGAATCAGTGCCTCTGGGGGACATTCTCACGTGTGTTACATTTGCTCAGAAGTGAATGAAATGAAAGCCTGGAGGAAGGAACTGGAGTCGCATCTCACCTTCCCTCTCCTGACACCAGGGGAGGGTCCTACCAGTCAGGGAAAGAGGAGGAAGGTTCTCCAGGGAGAGGGCATGGCGGGAGCAAAGGCACAGGGTCTGGAAAGTATGTGGCCTTCACTCTCAGCTGC